ATCGGAATATTTAATAATTTTGCTCCTCTTGAAGGATGCATAGGTACACTTTTATTTGCATAGAATGTAATTACTAATCAATCTTCATTCTTTATTCAATAGGTCGAGTGGCCTCACGCGAAGGCGATACTTACAACATGACTGTTTATGTGCCTACCTCAAATTTTGGGTTGAGTGCAATTTCCTGATTATTCCCTTTGCCCTTAACGTTTACACATGTGCCAGTAAAATGTATAAATTCTGTTCTACCAATAATTTATTTCTAATATTATTGTTACAAATCACTTGAACTATGCCCAATGTGTAAGATATGATCTTAATACTGTGTTTTTTTTGTTTCAGGTAAGCTTCTTTCATTTTGTCTTCACTTGGAGTAAGTTCTTTTAGTTCACACATATTGAGGTTGTAGATTAAAAAGTGAATTTTGAAATTTCAAATTTAATCTACAACCTCATCTATAAATAATTAAAAATGAAGCAGTACCTATCATCAAAATTCACATACTTAAGGGGTCGATAATGCATCGATGAATGTAATTTTTACTGCGAATTTGAGAAGATAACTTTCGTATTTTTAAGCAGTCTCCTCGATAACGAATGTAAAAAATGAGAAGACACGACAAAGTTTGTTTTACTCACCCCATGTGCTAAACAAGTATTACATTAACATTAATAATAAACGTAGCCTTCTATGACGATTAAGTGCTGAGATCTCAAGCCTTCGGGTGGATGTATTAATGCACTCACGTAGCAGCTGTATTATTAATAAAAAACATGTAAAAAATAAGGCTCAAATGACTTCTGCTACTCACTTGTTACATTTGAGTTGTTTAAAAAAAATCGAATGATAAAGGGACAACGGAAAACACCTTTTTTTTTAAATAAAACGAGGGTCGATAATATTTCGCCTCAAAATTGCATTTCTTTTTCATTTTTTTCTCCAGAACCATGAAACGTATCAAGAAGGATAGCAAGTCTTTGTTTACGATTTTGGGTATGCTCTTTCCAATTTTGTATAATTTCTTTAAAAATTCCTGCCCCAAGAAAATGTCTACTTTGCATGAAAGTTGGTCTTTGGCGATCTTTTAACATGTGTGCAATTAGTTTAAAAATTCAAAAAAAAACTTTGACTGCAATCCTTGCACGGACAATGAATGGAATAAGAATTTCACGAAATTCGAATGGGTATTTAAGAACGAAATGAATCAACCTAGGAATCAACCTAAAAATTTCCCCCCTATATAAAAATCCATCAGCAATTATTATTTTACCGATTTTTAGAGGTGTACGAATTCTTCTTGGGACATTCTGTATTACAGATAGGTCTTTACCCATCTTTTCTGTTGTGATAAATGGGACTTCACTTTCGAAAATTTAAACAACTACTTACGTCGATATACTAGGTACCTATTTTGACAATAATTCGAATAATTCGTTAATTCTCAACTAATTCTAGATGTAAGTGGTTAATTCTGAGTAATCCGAATTGTAATTCGAGTAGATACAAATAAAACATTATTGATATTCCATATTCAACGTTTGCTTCATTGTCATTACAGCTATTTTAAGTAGGTATACAGGGTATTCATTTGAAAACTTCCCACCACGGATTTATCGAAAACCACTGATTAAAGGAAAAAACGCCGAGACACGTCAAAAGATTTGTCAAGGCGGACAACTTTTTAACCAAAAACTACTTCACCTCCTTTCACCCTCTGGGGTCATTCCCTTAAAAGTTTTAAATGACAAGTGGCATCGAGTAATAGCTTGTTTGAAAGGTCATTCGAAGTCCGTTATTTTTACGTTTGATTTTTTATGATAAAAATACATTATAGTAGGTATTTAAAAACATAACTGGAACTAGGATTTATTATAGTAAGTTCTTAACAAAACAAAAATAAACTGTTTCAAACCAATAGACAATTAACAACAAACACAGACGGGCAGACAGGAAGTCCCAATGACCAAACTTTAATCAGTTAGCCCCTTGAAGTTTTGGTTATTATCTGAAGGATACGATGTTGTGTTGTTTTTTTAATTACAGATTTGGATTCAGTAGAAAGAAATACACAATTTCGATAATTTAACCGACTTTCTATTTCTACACTTAAGAAAGTTGGTAATAGTGCCAACTTAATTTGGACCAGTTTTGAGAATATGAAAATTTAATCTATTTTAAATAGAAACCCCCCGATTGCGCTCTCCGATGGAGGGTCTAAAAAGATATCTTCGCGCCACTCTTGTTTTTTGGTTATCCTTAAATATATTTGGGAGGGGCCAAGTGAACGCAAACTCCCGTAACGTATTTTCCTACCGGTATCTATGCCACTGGTTATGCATTCAATTGCGCCACTGAATTAAAGTCAGCGCCGCCGTTACGATTAATCCATAACCAATTTTTAAAAAGTGGGGGTGCTAACTTAACGTTTTCAAAAGAAATGTCTCTCATCATACGCTAAAATGCGCCATAAATAGTATTATGTTCTCAATTTAAATTAGAATTAAGTCGAAAAATCTAGCGCCCTGTTGCTAAGAAAAAAAATGATTTGTCAATTATTACTTTTTAGTTAGTTACGCATCGCTTTTCAATTAGGATATTAATTTCGATATAAATAGTTCTCTGTACTTCTGCGTTATGATTAATTAAAGTTTACTAAACTAAAGACATGTGAATTTAACAAATAGTGTGCCACCTCAAAATACACAACAAATAGAAATTTTTGCGCCATTATAGTTTTTAAGAACCCTTTATTGTATACAGGGTGTCCGAAAAGTACGGAATATCAGTGTTTCAGTGGTTCCTTTGTCCCCATTCGCCGCTAATTTTTCCGTGACAAGTGAAAAATATGGAAATGCGTATGTTAAGAAAAAAATTGATATTGATTCATCGATTCGATGCAAATTTAATCCCACTGGGAATTCGAAACAATGTTTCAATCACCTGTGCTCACGTTATTCTTCGTACCATCGTAATTTTGCTTCAAGCAACAATGTTGTACAACATTAGGAGTATAGAATAATTAAACAAGTAGCTTTATGCATCGACTGAGATTAATGGGATTTGTAAGTAATACTACATCAATTTGTTATATGGTAATGGAATACCATATAAGAACATTTATTTGAATAATACGCATTACATAACCCAATATAGTTATAAAACCATTTTATCCTCGTTTCATGTAACTGCGCTCACTATATCAAAAAGCGCGGACAGATACGCTTCATTATTATTACTATTTATGTGTTAAAGTATTATGAGCCCACATTAGTGGTTTTGAATTGGCAAGTCATAAATTTATTCGGCGGCCCCACGTTACGGAGATTTCGGAGCGTAATCCGCTATACACGGTAATAACCCAAAACGTTTAGTCCGAGCGAGAATTAAAATCGTTAACGTATTTCGTTTAACAACGAAATATGAATGTAAAAGAACGCTTGCTGTGCCCTAATTTTTCGACACCGACGTGTGTTTATCTGCACCATTAAACATTATATTAAGAAGAAATATTAATTAATTATTTCGCAACTGCGTTTTTAGGTTATCTACTAATTCAGACTACGAGTCAAGATCTGACATTGGCTTAATCTATTACTATAGTTAGTAGTATAAAATTATGTTAATTTATTACAACCCAAAAATGTTGGGACTTGGCAACGTTATGTCTAGTTCTACGTGTCAAATGATCAAATTTCATCTGTTAATGGAAATGCAATTAAAATTTATACTCATCACTCTCGTAAATGTACATAAGGCATTTCGATGTGCACCTTAACCTTCTGGAATTGGTTACCGTTTTGTTATTACGTAGCACAGCTCTAAATTAAGAAGCAAATTTTATTCTAATTGAATTGATTAATTTAAACATTACCCACAAGTCGCAATGCCCAATAGTTTTTAATGAGTACTCTATGAATATCAGTAGGAGCTTAGGTCTTTATCACTAAATAAAGAGTGTAAAGGATCTAAAACCATATACAAAGCTCTAGTGAATCTATAGGGTTTAGAGACTCTTTGAGATTATTTGCGACTCCCAGAATGCCTTAAAACTAACGAAACCTAAGCTCTCAAACAGACTTAAAGATTACTTAAAGACCCCTTAGGAATCACAAAAGCCCTATATTCTTAAACAGGGGAGAACTTTTGGAGGATTGTGAGGGCTATTTGCGAATTCTGATCACTTTTTAAAGAGTTTAAAAGCTTCAGGGTGCGTATCTTAGAAATATGAAAGCGCATTCAGGATAACTTTCTTAACGAATTTCGAACGCTTTTAAATAATAATGATAATAATAACAAAAATATTCTACAAAAACGAAAATCAATTTACAGGGTAGGTATATTGTTTATCATTACCTCGTATAAACTAAACTAATAACATAATAAAGTAACTGACTAGGGGCCGAATGCAGAAACAATAAATAATTAGGCCGTTAGTTAATCAGTATGATTAAATTAGACCTTTGATTAAATTCAATTGGTATGCACAAAACAAAAAACTCCTTGATTAACTAACCAAGGTGATTAAGCATTGATTAAATATTTGGTAAAAATTGGTGCCGGCAACGTTGTACTTTTATGGAAATGTGTGACTTTTTTTTACAAAGCCTACTTTTTGGATAGTATAGAAGGCTTTTCTGCAGATGCGAATTAAATTGGTGAAAAGTTGGTAAATTTAAATTAGAATATTAGATTAGACCAACCTTTTTACTTTTCATAATATACAAATCGAATGTTTATCTTTTGACTGAGCACTTGTGGAAATCGGTATAGTTGATGACACTTTTTAAGAATTTAAATAAAGTTTAAATTTGGCAGGTAGAGTTGTTTTTCTGATAGAGATAAAATTGTATAGAGAATTTATTTCGATTAAAATAATGAGGATTATCACCACCTGTTAACTATATCGACGCGCATCAGATCAAATGTACACGTGTTCAAAATTGCGTACGGCCGACCAGTCTATAGCGATAACGAAATCTTAATTCAGTTTATTCGTGTATACGTGCAGTAACAGTGCGTCCATTTCGAGTGAGTGTTATGCCGTTAGTTTGGTGTTTTTATTTACCAATTGCCATGGTGGTTATCCTAACGATGGGTTGGAGGAAAGAACACGAGAAAAAAGGTAGGAAACCTATATTTTTTCGATTTTTAGAAAAGCAGTGTCGTTTTTATTACCACGTCACTAAAGTCGAAGTAAAATTTGCGGTCATTTGTGCATAACTTCTAAAATACAAAACAAAAACTATTTTGTAGCAAGAAAAATGTGTACATATTCAGAAATAATTGCTATATCGTTCATAAATTTTGCATAAGAAAACTCTGGAATACAAAAAAAAAATTTTGATTACAGTCCATGTACCTATCGTATCTCATTTAGTATCGGTGTTTTTGTATTTAGAGATGGTTTGCAAGCATCTAATTGTCATCGGGCGATTATGGGAAAGTCATTCTCGCTTATCAATCTGGGTCATAACTAAACCCCATGGTTTGTTCGCGTAAATTCAATAATAGGAAACTTTAAAAAGATATTCGCGGAATGTGCCGTTTTGTGACACGTTCCAAATAACAAGTGCCACATTTTTTAAAATTTTACTTTCGTGCGTTGAATGTAGCTGTTTGTGTTTAGTGCTTGATCTGATTAATATTACAATTTCATGGTTCACTTGAATTTTTCCGATCGACCTTCCATGTAAATACATTTGACTCCATGAAAGTTACCTGTCAGATAAATTTAACGTTAAAGTGAAAGATTTTCCTGCGAAACAGCAGATGATAATTGCTAATAAAGTCGTTAAAATAACCAACAAAAACACAAAACCTTCCCCATACTAATTTAATTAGACATGACGTAAAACCGACTATAGTTTCCACCTTCTGGACTTTCTCTACGGTATTGATGGGTGATACTGAGGCAGGTTTGGAAATCGCTCCCAATATTTTAGCGGTCCTTTCTCATGCACCTATTAGTTTTGCTGATATACGCTGCTTCTGGTAAAAATAGCAAAAACAATTTTAGTTAGTTTGGCCATTACAAAATAGATACTTATACCATATCGTGTCAAATAAATTTTGATTAAGGCCAGTGCCCAAACGAATGCATTAATTTAGATGATTTCTTCAGTTATCATTGACGAAGACCCCAACTTAGGTGTGGATACCTATTACATTACTAAATTATTAGGAATAAATACTTTATAGCCTCACAAAGTCGACGCGACACGCAAAATTATTTATTTTTTTTTACAAGTTTAAAGTAAATAGTTCAGTTTTAATGTATACCCAGACCTAAGTTCAATATGTATCTTACACGTCCTAAAAAATCTCCGCGATTGATGCATTCGTTTAGGAGCTGGCCTAATTTGAAAATCATATGTAAAGAATACATTGAAGGATCCCAGCCTTAAAAAGAAACTCCTCCATATTTAGGCTATTTTGATTTATATTTTAATTGTAAAATGTGAAATTATATAGGCCGCCCATCTTTAACGGCTCAAGATGGGAACGAAGATGCTAATTAAATCGGTGATGGTAAATTTAAATCGGAATATTAGATTAGACCAACCTTTTTACTTTTCATAATATACAAATCGAATTTTTATCTTTTGACTGAGCATGAATGAACACTTGTGGAAATAGGTAGTTGATGACACTTTTTAAGACCAATTTGAATCAAGTTTAAATTTGGCATAGTAGAGTTGTTTTTCTGATATAGATCAAATTGTATTTATGAACTTCCCAAAAGAGAATTTATTTCGATTAAAATAATGAGGATTATCACCACCTGTTAATTATATCGACGCGCATCAAAAATGTACACGTGTTCAAAATTGCGTATGGCCGACCAGTTTATAGCGATAACGAAATCTTAATTCAGTTTATTGGTGTATACGTGTAGTAACAGTCAGTGCGTCCATTTCGAGTGAGTGTTATGCCGTTAGTTTTGTATTTTCATTTTACCAATTGCCATGGTGGTTATCCTAGCGATGGGTTGGAGGAAAGAACGCGAGAAAAAAGGTAGGAAACGTTTATTTTTTTCGATTTTTAGAAAAGCAGTGTCGTTTTTATTACCACGTCACTAAAGTCGAAGTAAAATTTGCGGTCATTTGTGCATTAACTTCTGAAATACAAAACAAAAACCATTTCGTAGCAAAAAATGTGTACATATCCAGAAATAATTGCTATATCGTTCATACATTTTGCATAAGAAAACTCTGGAATGCAAAAAGAATTTTTGATTTCACTCCATGTACCTATCGCATCTCATTTAGTATCGGGCGTTGTTTTCGTATTTAGAGATGGTTTGCAAGCATCATTTGTCATCGGGCGATTATGCGAAAGTCATTCTCGCTTATCAATCTGAGTCATAACCACGGTGGTATAATAGACCAAGTTTCCTATTATTGAACATGCGGAAAAAACTTAATGGTGGTATAGACCACCGTGGTCATAACTAAACCCCATGGTTTGTTCGCGTAAATTGAATAATAGGAAACTTTAAAAAGATGCTCGCGGAATATGCCATTTTGTGACGCGTTCCAAATCAGATAAATTGTACGTTAAGGTGAATGTCCTGATGATGATCGCCATTTTGGAAAAAGGGTACGAAAATTCAGTTTTTCGATAATTTCTCCGTTCCAGTGCCAACTCCGTTAAAAGTAGCTATTACGAATCACAAAATTTCCTATATCTTTTGTATTTAAAGTTTTTTAATCGGATGAATATTTTACGAGCCATCAGCCGAGTAAAAGTCAGGAAATTTTTTAATTCGCATTCGCCCTCTCTAGACACGAAACAAATGACGTCCATATTTGGAGAAAATAGTACTTATTGCGATTTTACAAATTAAAAAATTTCTTGACTTTTGCTTGACTGTGGGTCGTAAAATATTCATCCGTTTAAAAAACTTTAAATACGAACGTTATAGGAAATTGTGTGATCTATAACTTTCGTAATAGCTACTTTTCACGGAGTTGGCGCTGGACCGAAGAAGTTATCGAAAAACTGAATTTTCGTACCCTTTTTCCAATATTGCGGCGCGAGAGGGAGTCGGTCATCCTACGAAATCCACGGGATATCCTTGGTCCGCTCTTTTTTTATTATTTTGACTTTTGCCAGCAATAGCTAGTTCACAAAAGTTAAAGTCCCACACAACAACGCATCTTTTTCTTGTGCTGATTATGTAGAGTTTTGTGTCTTTATAAATAAAATGACTTAGGTGCAAAATCCAGTAAACCCTATTATAAATACATATAAATATATATATAAATATGGCGATTAAAAAGTGGAACAGATTTGATAGCATACCCTAAATTACGTGCGTTTGTGAAAGTTTCAAACAAGGGATATTACAAAGCTTTTGCATTTACAGAAAGCGATCTAAGAAAATTTTTAATTCAGGCCCAAGATAGCAGTTTCACAAGTCATATTTGAAGTAAAGTAACATTACTTATCATAACCTTTAAAGCACTTGCGTTTTAAGGGTTCGGTTTCGCACGCATTTTAGTGTTCAAAACGAAGATTGTAATTCAGGTACGATACAAAAGACGGTTTCCCTATCCAATTCATTTTAATTGTACCATTTTTTATATAAAACTGAAATTGAAACACGTTAACATTCCTTTATCAATATTTTCTACAAAATGTCCACATTTACTGTTGGTAACTAGATTACTCAACCAGGGTAACTTTCTGCTATGCCTTTTTGAGCAATTATCTCTTAGAAGAATTTGTTATTAATATAGGTACTTATGTGTTAATTTATAATTAAACATTACTGTAAAAAGAAGCATTTCAATGAAGAAAGTAACTCATTAGGTGGTAACGTTGTATTTATAAATAATATTTATTAATAAATAATAATAAGTAATAATAAATAATTGATAATAAATAATAAAAATGAGTTACTTTCTTTATTAACTAAACTATAACGTTCCAATATGGAGAAATTCATTGCACAGAAGCATTTCAAGTTAAAAAAAAACCTATAACGGTCTTAAGGTTGTTTCTGCTTATTTAAATTCTATAGAGTAGTGTTCTCATAATAGCTTTAGGAAGTCCTAAGCTTCAGTGAGTCGGAGATAATCGTATCTCAGTAGGTAGGGTTTTTGAGACAAAAAAAATTTACGCAGTTCTGAGACCACCAGTCCGCATTATAGAAATATAATGATCGTGCGTGAGTTCCTTAAGGACAGCGTAGTTTTTCTTGCACTGGAATACAGCGATCCTCATTGGCTTTTGAATAAAAATGGTTGCCTTAATTATTAGAAGTTAGATTGGAATAGGCGTCAATTAATAAATAACAAAAAAAAAGGGGTTAGTCTCGAGTAAGTGTAAATGTATTCGGTATTTGGTCACTGCCCCATTCACTGCGTGGTTCAAGTTCACAGTTTTGATTTTACGAGTCAAGCTGTGAGAGAACTTTTTGCTCAATTATATTATAAGAAATTCGGTTGCTGCGCTAGATTTCATTCCAACTTTTCCAGTCTGACAGTTGCACTTTTTCGGTCTCCAGAAAACCAAGTTGTGATTGCGGGTAATTTCTCGAAACGGAAATTTAAACATGTTTCGTGCGTTTACAGTTACATGAACTAACATCCAGAAATGAATTAATACAAATGTGTTAGTTTTTAGCGCATTTTTTTTATTATATTCGTTATGGCCGGCCGGCCGGCTGTCCGGATGAGATCTCAGCAACTACAATAGCTAGAGACTTAACATTTTCACTAAAAGCTTTTTGCTATAGCGTAGATGTGCAGGCTCTATGTCTATTTTGAGTTAGAGTACTTTACTTATGAGATCGATAATTTAAGAAAATAATTTAGATATGATTTTCAGAGGTGCTATAATTTTATCGTTAGATTAGTGTTTTACAAAATAAAGACGTACTCTCAATTGTAATTAAATAATATTAATTATTTAACGCAGCGCAAATTACTCGTGAGATCGATATAATTTTAGACTTCGCTAATAAAATACTGATTTGTATTACCAAAAATGCGATTTAATCATGCATATGCTGATTTACAACTTGTTTGAAGTTTATTGTATGAAGAAAAGACGATAAAATACTTCAGTTAGGTATGCGAATTCCCGTCGCGTAAATAGTTATTAAAGTCATTAGGGCGATATGTGCCAAATAACGGACGCGGTTGAATTTTGTAAACCGGGGAGTAGCGCCCAACGCGGTTAATTAAGATTCGCCTCCATTTTTACCAATACATTTTTACCACCTTCCCTTTTTACAACAAATTCTTTTTACCACCAAGTAAAATTATTAAAATCATCTGATGCTAAAAGATAAAATTTATTATTGGTAAAACAGCAGCAAGAAAAGTATAGTGGTAAAAAAAGCAGTGGAAAAAATTATGCTTGATGAGAAAATATGAAAGTAGACGCGGAAATTTGGGTTCCTTGAGGGCCTGTATTTGGAATAAATGTTTCTCTTGTTCCCCTCTACTTTGTGGCCCAAAATAATGGAATTCGAATAAATAGGTGTTTGAAGTTATGTTGAGGTAAAATATGATGCATAGAGGACGAATTACAAGGTGAGAAAGCATTTTAGTCACTGCAGTGGTGTCTGCTACATTAGCAGCGAATATGAATTTTGGATTAGGGAAGTGAGTTATTAGTTATTACTAACTCATGAATGCAAAGTTGAACACGATCACTATGATAGAGAACCGCTATCAGGCGTTTTATAAGAAGGAAATCTAGTGACGTTTGATGTTTGGACGGGTTTTGATTGTTTAGTCGTCTCTGTCACTTTCGAAATTATACCCGAATTTTGTACATCATGTTTTTAAAAGCCTCTCTCTTTAGATGGACTAAAATTGTAGTTTGTCGTGTACGTTTTAGTAATGAAGTGTGTGGATGTCCACCGCCTCCGTGCGGAGGAAAAGGAGAAGCCGACATTTACGCCAGCACACGCAAGAATTTAGTTTTGACAAAGCAGAGCGCGGTCATGTTTCAGGGCTTCACCGGCAAGCAGGGTACGTTTCATAGCAAGCTGTCGTTGGAATACGGAACAAAAGTGGTAGGCGGAGTGTCTCCTGGAAAAGGAGGCAAGAAGAATCTTGACCTGCCGGTATTTAATACCGTAGCCGAAGCTGCGAAGGCTCTTAAACCTCACGCGACCTGCATTTTCGTTCCACCTCCAAAAGCGGCTGCGGCCATTATGGAGGCGATGGACGCAGAGATACCCTTAATTGTGTGTATCACGGAGGGAATACCTCAGCACGACATGGTTAAAGTGAAATATCGTCTAATACGACAGGGTAAATCGAGATTGGTGGGTCCCAACTGTCCCGGAATAATCGCGCCTGAACAATGCCGTATCGGGATTATGCCCGGTAAGATCCACAAAAAGGGAATTGTTGGGATTGTATCCAGATCGGGAACACTAACTTATGAAGCTGTCAACCAAACCACACAAACGAAGTTGGGACAGACGCTCTGCGTTGGAATCGGCGGGGACCCCTTCAATGGGACCGATTTCATCGACTGCCTGGACGTCTTCTTAAAAGACAAAAATACCAAAGGTATAATGTTGATAGGTGAAATCGGCGGTGTCGCTGAAGAGCAGGCGGCGGATTATTTAAAGCAGCACAACACTGGTCGAGATTCCAAGCCCGTGGTCAGTTTCATCGCTGGACAATCGGCCCCTCCCGGTCGTCGAATGGGCCATGCGGGTGCCATTATATCTGGTGGTAAAGGCAAGGCTAGCGATAAAGTTGCGGCACTGGAGTCGGCTGGCGTAATTGTATCTCCATCGCCAGCGGCGATGGGGGATATGCTGCTGAAGGAGATGAAGCGGAGGTATCTAATTTGATGAAATCGTCGAATTGTGTCGAAATCCGTCTGTATTTTTATGCAAATATACATTATCTATATAAATGGGTATGTCGGTCGCAGCTGTATTTGTTGTAAATTTCAAATATTTTGCCTTGGTAAATCTACATGGTAAAATTGATGGGCAGACTAGTTTCGTTTTTGTCTGACAATGTTCCTTTAAAAGGGTAAAATAAATGTTTTGATAAATATCCCAAAACCGGGTCAGTTTTTATGAAAATATAATACCTACTTGCAACTTTAACTTTCCGGCGATAATTCCTCATGGTATCGAGTTGCAGAATTAAATGATACATAAAATGTATCCAACGCCCTCCTAGTTATCAAATTTATGTGCTTTTGCAAATTTTTAGATATAGATTTTAGCCTAAAGTTACAATTTGGTGTTCAGAACGAAGGTTCTCGATGGCGATTGTATTGTTCGCATTTTGTGCTAATTTTTGATACGGAATTATTAGTCTCTGGGCTAAGATCAAAGCTTTCTGATCGCCACCAATGTTTGTGTCTGGATTTTCTTCGTTTTGTGCATCATTGTTTATGAATTTTTAATCGGAAGCTACATCTTCACGTATAAGAGTGTGCTGTAGGGGGGAATTTGTTGAGCGAGGTATCTTGACACTACCTTGTACATACAGTGCATTCGAGATAAGAGGGTCACCTCAATGTCTCTTATTTGGCGAGATACGAAAAATTTTTCAAATATAATTACATTATTATAAATTTTGCATAACTCCCCTGTATACTTAATATTTAACCCCTAACGAAATTTCGTAAAAATGTCAACCCCTCTAGAAAGCTACTATTAAATTTAACATTGAAAATTCAGTATCACTATACCTTTTAATAAATAAAAAGTACCGCATAATTAATTAGCATAATAATAATAACTTTACCTTTTTTTTGTAATTCTTTTGATGAAATTTATTATATTTTAAAACCCCGTTCTTATATGTAATTTGTTCTTGTTCTATTATTTTCATTAAACGTTTATTTATTTAAAAAAAAATTAGCATAATTATACCGAACATACATTGATTAGGTAATTAATTTTTTTGTCATTCGGCGGAGCAAGTATTTTTGGATGTTGATTTACCGTTATGTACTAATATTACCTCTACTACACGTTGAAATGTTAACATCAATTATCAAACTGCGCTTCATATAAATGATTCATTTAGGTGTTATTCAGAATCTTCTAAGGCTTCATTTCAGTATTGAAACCTTCGTTTAAGTTATATCCAATTGGATTAAAATTAAGAGAAATAGTAATTAAAACCAGATCATCTTCTTCGAGAAGAGCGTGTAGCATTTATCTGGCAGCGGTGAGTAGGATTATGGACTAATCCATAAAAAGCTCCTTTCCGATTACACGAAAGCAATTACGTTTGCCAGCTTTAGTTGTATAGCAAAGGTTTTATTTAAACGGAAACAATTCAACATTTCATAGAACAACATTTCCGAAACCATGTAGCGAATACAGAAAATTAGAAATTCTACATAAGCTGTAAATTCAAAGATGCCGTTCCACGATTGCATGCGATTATTAATAATTCCTGCATTTTGAATGATATTTGCAAATATGGCGCATAAAGCAGCAATTAACACGCGTATTAATACAAATAATTAAGGCTTATTGGAAGCACGTTGAAATTTATAGACCGCAAAAGCAACCGCGGTCTTCCTTAACAATTTATAATACTATGTGTGCCTATTTTTAGAGTTCAACTATGGAAATCGATTTTATTAAGGCTAGAATTTTTTAATGCTCGTACTTTTTTCAAAACGTTCCAAGGCATTCTAGAGATGAAAATTATAAAGGTCGAGGGGTTGATCACGAGGGTAAATTCTTGTCCTTCATATAGGAAATTGCGAAAAAATATGTAGGCAATGGACGAAATTAGAGGATATTCTGGTGAAATATTAAGAAATTTTGAGGAAATAAGAGGAAATTTCGATGAAAAATCTATGGTTATTTCGAGAACATTAAATTTGCATTTTGTATAGAGACATAGACATGTGAGATATGAAAGGTCAGTTTGTCGCAAAAAAATACATTACCGTTTCTCTATGGTGCGTCCTACCTGGGACACACTGTATATGTGAAATTGCTCATAAAAAAATTGCTACTTTTACAATCTTCTGCATTCAAAATTTAATTATTCAATGTTAAATTTAAAAAGACAAACATTGGTATTAAAACTGCTTTTTTCCTTTTAGTGATCATCAGTGGTTTCCTTCTTTGAAAGTAATTCACTAACATTAAAAAAAAGTTGAGGGTAATTACGACCCCCTCGTTTACAAGGTCCTCGACGATGAAAGCTTTTCCACGCGTAATCCCTTACGTCTTTCTGCGCGAATGTGTTAATCTGTTCACGCACTCAAAATATACAACTTTTCGCACAAATTTCAGATGATTAACTAAATAATTTTCTAATTGTTGAATTCCCACTCGATCGCTTGCCGTGGAACGCCCGAAAAAATTCTATATTTTGAACCACGCTGTTGATGCTCTCGGGGTCCGAAACTAATGCCTTGAATCTCTCTTCTCTGGACTTGTCTCTACTCTTTTCCAACCCCACAAAATGGCACTAATAGGTTAACGGGCATATCAATAACTAGGTAATTTGGTTCGTTTAGACCAACAAATTATGCGCGCGGTAGGGCCATAGATAAAACCCACGACTTTTTTAACACTGTACATTCAGCGCTTTCCATAAATACGCATAAACTCAGCAGTGAATTTGACTTAGAGGTTTTGGGCACGAAAAAGCTATTAAGATTGAATTATCGCTAGCTAACGACCAACAGACTGGCGCCAGTATCTTCCCTAAGCCATTAAGCGGTCATGATGTACAATGGAACGAGTAAATTTATAGATCGCCTAATTTATTCATTATTATATTGTTACATGTTCCATTCTAGATTTTGTCGAAAAAATCATATTTAAAACAATTAGGTTCAATGAAAATTACGGCACGCTAATAAGGCTGGATGTCCACCGCATCGGAACGACCAAGATCGGTGCGGTTTGAATCGCCCGATAAAGATCGCGCGCGTGCGCTCCTATTGAAACCTGTCCACAGGCTCGATTTTTGTCGGGACCGATCGAAATCGCAACCGACTATATTCGCCCGACCCGACGTTCTTGAACGATCATTTGTCGGCAGTCGTGTGTCATAATAATCAAAAGTGCTGGTAATCTTTCTTCTACCGTCACACATCTTCTGTACTTGGTGTCCCTTTTGGCAATTAATGGCCGAGCAATGTCAGCTAAAGGAAAAAACTACTCTTGGACATACGATACATACATTTAAATTTGTGTTCTGATTCACTTGACATTTTATTTAATGTCAACTGTCAACCCGATAAAAATCGTTCGAAAGGCGATCGTCCTATGGACATGAATTGCCAATTTTAGTCGGCCCGATCAATCTGGATACGACTACAGTTGGACCGATCTTCGTCACCCCGATTCGGTGGACATCCGGCCTAATTTAACAGCGTAATCTAGTACGATTTTAATTCTTGTAAATGGTAAGGTTGCTTAAGAGATGTATTGTCTTGAAATTGTGAATTTAATTTTTATTCAGGTAAAAAAATTACGACATATATTAGCACAATTTAACAGAATATTTTGATTAGTAAAAATGTGTTTTTTCACTACTTAATTATGGACAAAAAACGAAATGATACACAAAAAATGTCAAAATCGATACTTACAGACTAAAAGGAGTCAACTCGATTGGTCGATCCTCATGCTTTTTCGTGTCGAGTATGATTCTACCCATAAGATAGGAAAGCAATATAGACATAGTTATTCTGTTATATTTGCAATAGCTTTCTGTCTGTGCAGAAAAAACCTTCATGGATCGTTCATAAATATTAGGATCTGCCATACGTAAATGAAATAAAGTTTATTCACGTACATTAAATTAAATTATTCAATTAATTAAAGGGGTTGGGTTGACCAGCCCCTTAAACGTGCTAATTAAGAAGAACTTTCTACTGCAAAATGAAACTTTTTTATAAGTTTTTTTAGTTGACTGAAGGTTAATTCTGAAATGAATTTCACTGCAATTGTCTTATGAACATTTTTTCCATTTCTATCAAACATGAAAATCAAAATTTAGGCTCGCTTTTGACTTGCAGACAAAAAGACAACATTACGATGAAAGAAAAATATATTGATGAAATAAAATAGATCCAAATTCCACGTTCCCGTACATCTTTTTCTTACTTAAATACATTTATTATGACTTCTGAATTCTGTATCGTGGTCACGTTCCTTTCTAACTACTCCTATTCAAATTTTAATAAAGGATAATAAAACGACCATTTTTCCACAAAGAGTAGTACATTCAAACTTTCTGTACATAACGTCTTCTTGGTTTAAGACCGAACCGGACCGTAATTATTCTGCTTCGGAGTATTTTACTTATTGTTGATCGCAAACTTGATGCCATATTCGCCTACAGAAAATAACATTTAAAATTACCTGATAAAAATTTTTATTCCGGACGGCTTGTATGATTTTCGCACAGTTCAAAACCTGAGCTCTAGGATGACCGAATAACCAAATACTTCGCTCGATATTCTCCTGGATTAATCCCTACTTATCTTTTCAATTTACAAAACCATCCACAAAATGGCGCTAAATAATAAAATTGGAAATTTTTAATCATGAACGAAACGATCAAAGGCGCCCGAAGCTCATTCTGAAAAAACCCACGGCTGTTTAATATTGCAAATCCGGCGCATCTCAGGGACCCTCACGATATCATTCTGTATAATTTGGCTATGGACTTCTTCATTAAGATTGTATTACCGCTGCTTCCCTAAAGGTCGGTATTCACGTTCAGTTCGCTGGCCGGCCATGGACTGTCAGTCCACGGTCGGACGATCGTTTTTCAATACACACGTAGAGGCGGACGGCCGGCGAAATCCTGTCGCCTGTCTATAGCGGTGAAGATCGTAACGTGTGTACTGCTTGGCCGGCCGGCATAGGACGGACGCTTACCGCATAACACTGTCTTTTTTTGTAATACAAGG